CTGTCAATCTTGTTTATCTTTTCAAAGAACCAGCTCTTGGTATTGTTGATTCTTTGTATTGTTTTCTTTGATTCAATTTCATTGATTTCTGCCCTGATTTTTGTTATTTCTTCTTGTCTGCAGGGTTTGGGTTTTGTTTGCTGTTGCTTTTCAAGTGTGTTGAGTTGCAGTGTTAAGTCATTTGTGTTCTTTCCAATTTTTTAATGTAGGCACTTAGAGCTATAAACTTCCTTCTTAGGGCTGCTTTTAAAGTGTCCCAGAGATTTTGTTGTGTTGTATTGCCCTTTGGATTTAGTTCCAGGAATACTTCTATTTCTTTATTAATTTCTCCTCTGACCCATTCATCATTCAGGAGGGTATTGTTTAATCTCCTTGAGTTCATGTAGTTACTAGGGCTTCTTCTGTGTTGATTTTAAGTTTTATTGTGGTGTGGCCTGAAAGAATGCATGGAATTATTTCAATTTTTTAGTATTTGTTGAGGCTTGTTTTGTGCTCCAATACATGGTCAATTTTAGAGAAGGTTCCATGGGGTGCTGAATACAAAGTATATTTTTTGGTGCTTGGGTGGAATATTTGGTGGATGTGTGTTAGGTCCATTTGATGTATGGTATTGTTTCATTCAGACATCTCTCTGCTTATTCTTTGTCCAGTTGACCTGACTAATGGAGACAGTGGGGTATTGAGAACCCCTGCTATTAGTGAGTTGGGATTAATCTGTGTCTTAAAGTCCTATAGAATTATTTTTATTATTTTGGGTGTACTAGAGTTTGGAGCATATATGTCTATGATTGTAGTATCTTCTTGTTTAATTTTTCCTTTGATCTGAATGAAGTGGCCCTCTTTATCTTTTCTGATTAGTTTTAGTTTGTAGTCTATCTTGTCAGATATTAGCATTGCAACTCCTGCTTGCTTCATAGTGTCATTTGATTGGAATATTTTTTTCTATTCTTTCACCTTAAGGAAGTGCCTGTCCTTGAAGATAAGATGGGTTTCTTGCAGACAACAAAAAGATAGATTTTGTTTCTTAATCCATTCAACCAACTTGTGTCTTTTGACTGGGGAGTTCAGTCCATTGATATTTGAAGTTATTATTGAAAGATGTGTGTTGGTTCCTATAATTTTAATTTTTGTCTGCATTCTTGGCTTGTCTCTGTGTTTCCACAGTTATACTTTCATTTAGTTCCTTTCTGTTGCTCCTTGGGCATAGTCATTCCTTTCTTCAGCTCTTTGTACTACTTCAAGAATTCTCTTGTGGACATGAATTCTTTCAGTCTTTTTATTTCATGGAAAATTTTTCTTTCCCCTTAAAGTATAATATGCATGTTTTCTGGGTAAAGTGTTCTGGGTTAGCATTTATGGTCATTTAGAACTGGGAATACTTTGGTCCAGGCTCTTCTGGTTTTCATAGTTTTCACTGAGAAGTCAGCTCTAAATCTGATGGGTTTTCCTTTTTATGTGACATTGTTTATTTTTTGCAGCTTTCAGTATTCTCTTTTTGTTCTGTCCATTTAGTGTTTTTTACTATGATGTGCCATGGTTTTCTATGTGCTTCTTGTATTTGTATGGACATAGCTTTCTTTAATTTTGGGAAATTTTCTTCTACAAGACTGATGAAGATCTGGTCCATACCATTATCCTGAGATTCTTCTCCTTTCTCTACACCTATGATGCATAAATCTGGTCTTTTCATGGTGTCCCACATTTCCTGCATAGTCCATTCCTGTGTTTTCTTAAAATTTTCATAATCTTTGCTTGGGCAGTCCAATTTGTCAACTTTATCATCCAGTCTTGATAGTCTGTTTTCCATTTCATTCATTCTATTTGTGAGGCTTTCTCCTGTCATTTCTATTTGGCTTATTGAATATTTCACCTCCTTCTTCATTTCACCCTGAGTTTTCTTCAATATTTCTATCTCTTTTGTGAATTTACTCAGAAGTTTATCCCTATCATCTTTTAGTTCTTTGATTTGTTTGTATGTTCTTTAAATTCGTTGAATTATTTGATCAGGTTTATGATTATTCTTTTAAATTCCGTGTCCTGGGTTATCTCTAGGGACTTCTCATTGTAGAGCTCTTCTACAGGACTGTTGATGTTTTGTGAGGACATGTTATTTGCATTTTTCATATTATTTTTTGTTGTGATTTTGGCATGTGGATTTCTTTTGTTGTTTCTGATTCTGGTGTAAGATTCAAGTTTTCCTTTGTTCCTTTGCTGAGTTTAAGTCTGTTTCTGTTTGTGTACTTGATGTGCCTTTGTTGTTTTCTTATTGGGTATGAAAAGCTGGTTGGTCTAAGCTTCAGGTTCTGTCTTTTGATTTTATATTGGAGGGACCACATGGCTCTCCAGCTAGTCAATTTCTGCAGAGGCTCAAGTCAGGTGAGAATCAGATGCTATCAGGCTTCTTCCTAAGGTCTGGAGCCCTCTAGTCAGTAGGCACAGCACAATTTGGGAAGCTTGCTGGGTGGAGGCTGGAGTCAGATGATCTCAGGCAGTCTGCAAAGGTCTAGGACCCCACAAAAGAGCAGAGAAGCCTAACCCTGCATCAGCGGGAGAGGTTGTAGGTTATCCCAATGTAGGGGATGCACATGGCATGGTTTGGAAAGTTCACTGTCTCACAGAGTTAAGAAGGTAGTCCAGAGGTTTGGACAGGTCTGGGCTAAGAGGGTAGTCCAGAGATCTTGGGTGCTAAGAGCAGAAGCAGGCCTGTGCCCAAGGCTAGAAGGAGAACAGGATGTGGGGCAGGGGAGATTGGATTTGCTCTGGTTGTGGGGGAAGTGAAGGCATGGTGGTTGGAATCAGGCTTACCAGGGAAGAAGGCCGGTTTCTGGAATCCCAGGCAAGTTGGGGATGGGGACTGTCAGGACAGAAGGCTGGTCTCATGTGTGCAAAGGCAAGCTGGGGGTGGGGATAGCCTGTGAAGGCTCTAAGTAGACTGAAGGAGTGAGCTGGTCTGGGTGCAGGGGGTCAGGACACGATGGGCAGGTCTTGGCTAAGAGGGTAGTCCAGAGATTTGGGGTGCTAAGAACAGAAGCGGGCCTGTGTCCAAGGCTAAAAGGAGAATAGGATGTGGGGTTGGGGAGATTGAATTTGCTCAGGTTGTTTTCTGACCTCACTCTCAAACTCGAAAGTTGAGATGATTAGGTCAGCTAATTTAGACAACCAAGGGGCAGTGCTATGTGTAATATACACCTGACACTTGGAACAACTCCTCAGGCCTCTAAGATTTACAAAGTCGAATTAAGTCCATGTCAAATTCTGCCTCGTGCTAATGATATACTGGCATAGCAGCTATCAGGTACCTCAGGATAAAGAGGAGAGGCCCTGTTATTTGGGGTGTTAATCTTAGGCATAACAATCTACTATACTGTTTGTTTGTTTATTTTGAGCCTGGGTCTGCCTGTATCTCCAGCTAGCCTGGAGCTCATTATGTAGACCAGGCTGGCCTCAGTCTCACAGAGATCCACCAGCCTCTGCCTCCCGAATGCTTGGATTAACAGCGTGCACCACCATGCCTGGCTATACATTTTATTATTGATACAATTTTGGTCTACTGAGTAATGACATCCTCTATTCCAGTTTCCTATTCAGTAATGATCATCTATCTCCAAGCTCAGACCTTCTCATTTATCCCCCCTTAGATGAGACAGATTAAGACTTTTTATCTCTGGATAGGAAGAGTCTATTACCTAGATATGAAGAAATTATAGAAGACAGACCTCCAGTCTTCATCAGTTCTTAAGATTAAGAGATCAAAATCTCAGAGGGAGAAACTGAGGCAAGATAGAAAGGGGAAATTATGGAGTCATGGGAAAGAAAGGAACCTCTTAATCCAGAATCTGACTGAAGACTCTCATTGGCCAAGAATTAAGAATTCCAACATAACTTACGAACAATTGTGTAAGACGTTTTCCCTTCCCTGATACAAATCTAGAGTCCCCTAGGAATGTCACAGACACTTCAGTCACACTAAAGGACATGTCCTAACTGCCTTGTGCAACTATAGTGGCTTCTGGTTTTACCATATCAGATTATAATCCCATCTAAGGCATTTCTGGAGCCACCCCATAATTTCATTTACAAAAAAGAGAGAGAAATGGAAGAAATTTTATAGAATCTCTTTGAGATGTGACTTGAGAGCCACCATCACAGTACAAATAGCTAATGCTAAGGCACTTAATATGACTCTCTTATGAGGAGCCTGTACCCACAGCTGGGCATGTCTGGCTCTTTCCCTGAGTGCTTGTCTTCTCTTAACCTTCTGTGCTTAAAGACTATGTTAAAAATGGGACTGTTCAGGGCTGGAGAGATGGCTCAGTGGTTAAGAACACTGATTGCTGTAGCAGAGGACCCAAGTTCAATTTTCAGCACCCACATGGTGGCTAACAACTGTCCATAACTGCGGTTCCAGGGGAATCTGATGCCCCCTTTTGACTGTGGGTACTTACATACATGCAGGTAATACACTCATACACACAAAATGAAAATAATTAAAAAATGCAACTGTTCTTTGAGAAGCATACACACCCATGCTTTCAGGTGTGTGGGAAGTAATTTCAAATGAAGAACAAAGCCAGGAAATTTTCTCCTTTAACCACCATGGAAAATGAGCATAGGTGCATGGCAGAGGGAGTGCTTAATGTGCGCAGGGTCGTAGGTTCAATCCCCAGCATTCCACCCCCACTCCTGAAAAAACCATCAAACCTCACATCCCCCATTTTCTTCTTGAATTCTCACTTAGAAACTGATTCTCCTGGGTGACCATCTGATGACAGATGAGAATCTCTCACAATTTTATTACTTTCTGCAATTAAAATATTTATTCACATGAGTCATAAAAATTCTAGTTGCTACAGAATCAGGGCACTTTTTTTTCTCAAAGAATTTTTTATTTTACATTGAATTTTTGTGCATTTCATACAATACATCTTGATCTTATTTAGACCCCCTTCCCTATCTGCACTAACCATAACCCCTCCCACCAGATTTCATGCATTCTACCATATATGTTAAAGCCTATTGAGTCAAGTGTATGTCCTCATATGTCCCTGAGTGTGAGTCCATCCACTGGAGCCTGGTTAGCCTATCAAACATCACTCCTTAAAGAAGAACAACTCGTCTTCCTCAGCTAAGGTTGGAGCTTCTTTCCCATGTTTCCACGTCTGTGCTGGGTTTTGTCTGATTGAGTTTGCGAGGGTCTTGTGCACGCTGTCACCATTGCTGTAATTTCATATGAGCAAGTTCCCAGTCACCCAGAAAATTCTGCTTCCTTATAGTCATCCGCCATCCCTGGCTCTTACGGTCTTCCCACCTCCATCTTCCAGAATGGACCCTGCACCCTGGGTAGCTGAGGTTTAATAGGAGTCCTATCCGGGGACATGCACTCTCAGTCTCTTATTCTCTACATTTTGACCACTTGCAGCTTCTTTCCATGTTAGTCATCGTCTGTTGAATGAGGAAACTTTGCTGATGAGAACTGAGAGATGCGTTAATATTCTCTCTGCCCTCAGAGCATTTTGGTTCATTTGGAGGGAAATATTCAAGAAAGAGCCCTTACCTTGGCGTAGACATTAAACTCGGGTCTGACTAAGAAACTTTCTGTGCCATCTGGGACAAACAGAAGGAAGCATTTTTGCGAATACCTCCAGAGCTCCTCCAGACTTCGTACTGGATGAGTTGCTCTGTGGCCACATCTGGTACCTGGTGGTATTGTGATTTGAGGAATGCTCAGGGAATTATTTCATATGGAAATATCTGGATAGGTTGCTACGATCCCAACAAAAATACAAAAGAGCAACACTTCCTCCTATAGTTGGGAACCAGGGCCCACTTTCTTGGGACTTAGGAAATGAACTTTTCTTTTGGAAATGGAGTGACAAGAGGGGTCTCGTAGGCAGGAATAAAATCCTGGTGCTGGTTGGATCGTTCATCATATGCAATGAATTTCATAAGTTGCGCCAGTCCAGGGCAGCCAGGGCTACACGAAGGCCTGCTCTGAGGACAGAGGGCTGCTGTACTCAGCACTGTGATCTCATGCCAAAAGAACCCGACAAGCTGCATTTTGAACAACGCCTCCCACCCCAACCCCCACCACAGACCTTGAGTGTGAAAAAGCTTGGAAAGTAGAGGGGGCATCACCTTCTTATGTACCTGACCCAGGAGGATCCATGAAGACCACTCTGCCAGTGATAACCAGAAGTCTAGCTTTGTTTCTCCATCATGATTAAGCAAAACCACAGCAATGTCTTGATCCTCCCACCATTTTGTGTCATTGGAGCAGGTGGCCAACCACAAGGCCCAGACAGTCTGAACGACAGGACTGGTCATGTGTCATATGCGTCACTTTTTTTTGGCTCTTATTGCCATGGTGTGATTATTTGAAGCATCAGGACCTGATTTACAGATGGAGAATGAGGTCATCTTCTCAGCTAAAATGCTCAGCAAGTGCCCCCTGGCGGTTGGTTTTTAAATTTTATCCTGCATTGATAGCTAATTGTATTTATGGGGTACCATATGACCAAACGTTATGCTGATGAAATAAGCTCCCTGTGTAAGGGGAGCTTCTGCTGATCTCAAATGACAGTTATTATTTATATGTCCCCAAAGAGTCTGCTGGCATTCCCCCCCCCCCCGGAACTGGCATGTAAAAAAATCTGAACAGCTGCCTCACCGGGCAGGCTCCATCCTGCCCTATCTCCCTGCTCACTTTGCTGAGGGCTCCTAACTTGGTGAAGTGTAAGGTTTGAGGGCTTTAGATGACGTTTTTCTACCTGCTACTTTTGGAGGGACACACATCAACCTAAATTGGCGACTGGAACAACACAGGGGTTTAAATCTCAACATGGGAATTTTAGGCCCTTGTCAATCCTATTTTACAAATTCTGACCTGGGCAGGTGTGACACCCATACTAAAGATGCACCACTTACCCCTCCCTTAACCCCTAGATTCATCCTTTAAACCAGCACCAGCATGCCACCCATCCAAACACCCTGAAGCAGCCCAGTTGTCTAAATATAAGATCTGGACTCCAGCTAGGCTTTTGAAACAGCCCATTCCCTCTCACCTCCCCCCAGAAGAGATCCAAACCTACCTTTCCAAGTATCTTTTCCCCTAAGCCTTTGTTTGAAAATTCACATTGCTTTCTCTGAAGTGATGAGACATGTTGTCAGATGTCAGAATATTGTCCCTTTTCTTATCCCCAGGGGCCTCTGTACGATTAACTCTGGCATTTGCCCTAAGCCTGTGCTTCCCTAAAGTCTCCCTGCTTGGCCTCCTGCCCCACTGCTCCCCACCAAGTCTCAGCAGTTCCTCTCCACCTGCCCTTGGCTTCTGTCTACTTAGCTTGGGGTTCATGATGTATAATGCCTCCAGCTAGCGTTCCTTAAGGCTCTGTCCCGTGCCAGGCATTGGAATCAGGACTTTACAAACATAGCCTTACATGATTGCTTTGTACAGAAAGTTCTGTTACAACCCTCACTTTACAGAGGAAAGAACTGAGACTCAAAAAAAAAGACTGAGACTTAGAGAACAGCCTACGCAACATCACACAGCTAGTTGGTGGCAGGGCAGGCCTTGAGCTTGGGTCTACTAGGTAGTAAACAGTTTATTGCCCTGGGACCTGTTCTGGCCCTTTTCCCTCCCCTGTCTTCTTTCTTCACTTCTCTCATCTCTCCATCAGCCAGCTTCCCTTTCCTGTGGAAACTGCACTGGTTTACTCTTCTCTGTCTGAGAGATCTCTCTTCAAGTTCAGCCTTCGGCCTGACCTTGTTCTGGAACCCTTAATGCTCCCCGCTACAATAGCTTCCCTGCTCACCTCCGCTTCATGACCCAGTCGGTTCTGAGGGAGCGCTTCACCTTTTCCTCTGGCTCTGTGCAAGGTCCCAGGTGGCTCAGCTGGCACCTCTTTTTGTCACTTAGTGCAGGCCTTAGCGCAGGCTTCTCTCTCTCATCTACTCTCCTTTCTCTGCCTAATCCACACACCCAGCTGACCCCCGAGAGGCTCTGGTGTTGCCTCTCTCTCCAGTCTCACTTTGTTGGCCACACACGCTTAGTCATCACGGTTTCCACCTCTCCAGGGGCCCCTGGTTTCAGAGCCTGTTTTTCCAATTCTATCTGGCTTCATACAGTGATACCAAATAACACTTGCATGCATGGTGGTTAACTCTCACACAGCACTAAATCCTAAGGCTCTTCCCCACTTAAACCTTACAACTCCCTAGGGTGTAACTACTATGTTCCCCATAATAGTTTTGCAGATGGGAAAATGAGTCTTAATGGTAACTGATCACCATCACTAATAGGTGGTAGCATTGATATTTGAATCCAGGCTGCCTAACTCCAAAATGCCTGGTCATAACCACTACTCTATCCTGTCTCATGTGACACTCCTGTTCAAAAATATTTGGTGGCTATTACCTAGCACGGACAGCCTCAGAGTCCCCTAGAAGCCTGCGTCCAGTTGCACACCTATCATTAGCCCTGCTTCTAGCCTTTCTGCTTCTAAGCTTCAAGCAAAATGCTGCCCAGAATATCCCTCCTTGAATTTCCTGCTTTTTTTGACCCCAGTCCAGTGCCAAGGATGCCCATCTCTTCATCACCACTCGAAAGCTGGGCTCATCCTGTGAGGCCTGTCTTAGATGTCCCTAATTTCCTTTCCGGGTAGGCAGGAGCATTCCTTCCTCCTCTGAATTCCCTGTGTCTTCTGCCCCTGCCTATGGCCTCAGACATTCCTTTGTCCCCCTTCACAGTTGCTTGTTTCCCTGCTTGAGCTCTGCTACAGCTATGAGAGGCATCTGAGCACCCCCTCTGCATCCACACTGCCTTTAGTACACTAGTAACCTGAGCAGCATTGTCCAGTGAGATGGTGTCAAGAATGATGTCAAGGAGTCAGGTATGGCCACACATGCCTTTAGTCACTATAGGCAAGTCCTTTAACTCCTTTGTATTTTTCTCTACTAGAGGTCCTTGTGATGCTGGCTCACAAAATGGGTTTAGTAAGTGACAGTTCTCATCTGCCCAGCACAACTGGTACCACGGTGCTCAAAGTATGGATGGAGGACAGCATGTCAGCATCACCCAGGAGCAGGTCCTGCATGGGACCTGCTAACTCAGAGATCTCTAGGTGGAGCTGAGGGTGTGTGTTTGCAGCAAGTCTTCCATAGCTGAAGTGTGAGGCGTCCTGAGCTGAGAGCAGAGAAGTTATGGCAACTATTGCTCAGAAAAGAGTCCAAAAACACCCACAGCTGTAACATTAGTGCTCAGAGGCCAAATCTTGGTGAAGGGAGGACACGGCTCCCATTGTAAGCTTGGTCGTTGGAGGTAGCCAGATTTTTACCAGGTGGTAGGCAGCTTCTTGAGGGATAGCACCAACCCACAGAATAGGTTGAGTCCCAGCACTCTGTAACTGCATTGATGGCAAAGACAGAGACGTTCTTACAATCTGACAAGCAATGAAGTGAATTGCTTGGGGGCCTGTTCCCAGGAAAGATAGCAAAGGAGGCAGTGAGACAAGAGATAAGGTGTCCTCCAGTTATCTGGGAAGGAGAGCTGAGATAAGCACCCCCTTGCATGCTGAACAGGACAGAATGAGTAACGTGACAATAATGGATGCTGGCTGCAGCCCAGGAAGGTGTTACCAGGACGCATGTGGCTTTGAAAGGGGGTGCCCAAGAAGCACCCTGTTCTCAGACCTCCTTCAAGCAGGGATGCTAAGCTGGAAGAATGCCAAGGCCCAGTAACAAAGCCACCACTTTCATGCCTCCAAATCTCATGACTGTTCTGGCTACTCTTTCTGGGATGTGAGATCTTGAGAAAGTTAGGAGATGACCTAGAACAGGACACAAGTCTCCGTTCTCTATCAACCCTGCTTGTTTCAAGCAGGTAACACATGATCTTCTCATGAGCTGTCAGAGACAGAGTGATTGTTCCTGAAGGAGGGAAAAGTGTTTCTTAGGATTAGGAGCTCCCTGGAAGGCCCAGGGTGTGTTTTGCAAAAAGCGTCTCAGAAATGGGTGCCTCTTGTCAAAAGAGCATCCTGTCATGGATCAGTCATGGGCAGAATTCATTCATGGCCATCACTGCTGCTCTGGAGCCCCTGGACAAGGCCAAGAAACCCACCTTCATGTCCTTTAGCAGCAGTGGTGATCTTGAGTATGGGGGCCACATAAGGGTGGGCTGGAGGAGCAGTGTATGCAAAGGACCAGGAGATAACACTAGCTGTACGTAGCTGTTGGAGGCAGAAAGGTCTCTAGAACCTTAAAAATGAATCTTTTTACACTGAGTTAAAATTCATATAACATAAAACTAGCTTTTTTTTTCTAACCATTTCAATACATTTGATTTCATGGATTTAGCTGCAATGCTGCCAACCGCCCTCTAGCAGTGGTTTTGAGCCCAGCCGAGGAAACAGGTGCAGGCTCAGGAGCAGCTGTCTGAGGAAGAGAGTGAGGCTTTTGGCAGGTTCTGGGGCTTTGAGGCAGGCCTGGGGGATCGGTAGATAGACCAAGGTCTTGAAGATGGGGAGACAAATACAGTTGGATTGGCTTGGGGAGCATTACTGCCTTGCATATGAGAGACTGTCAAGTGAGATGGCAACCAGGGGACCTGAGGGGACCCACTCAGGGGCCTTTAACATTTGTGGGGGAGGAGATGACCTGAAGTAGGAGACTGAGGTGTCCAAAAAAAGGCTTCTTTGAGGCCAGGCCTTCCCTTTGTGCTGGCCTGAGTCACTGGTGGGCTGGGACTGCTACTGCCTAGACATGGTGGTCTCAGACCATAACAAGGTCTGGTTAGTTTCTGCCAGTGGTCTTTCTTGTCTACCTCTGAACAGAGATGCCCTTGTGAGCCTAACAGAAGGAGTAGTCCTAGTGGCTCCCAGAGCCAGAAGAAGAGGGTGCCTGTCTCAGGCCCATGCTTATGAGGCTTCTCTCTGGCCCTCTGCTAGCCACATCCTCTGTATAGGAGAGGCACATTGGCTTGGGAACATCTGCATTGTAACCCCACCCCACCCCAAGTTCTGGGTGTGCAGGATGCTGGAATACCAGCTTCACTGCCACTGAGCCTCTTACTCCCGTGGTTGCCTCCCAAGCCTGTCTTTCAGACATAAACTTCAATATCCTCGTGCCCAGTCCATGTGCTGAGGATGCTGAGGTCAGCTTGCCTGAGAGGGAGTGAGGTTGGGTTCACATGTGCAAATACAGGTGACTGTGTTAT